TAGCTAGGTTTATGTTGGGCTTTTGGATGGCCCTGTTTGACTCTCAAAACAGGCTTATGATCTGGTTAGACACATGAGGGACCTGGGTAGCCTGGCAGAGCTCTGAAACCCCAGCTGTCAGGATTCAAGAGATGGTCTGGGGAGCGCTTCGGGTACTGTGACTCCAGGGTAGAGGCCAAACATCCATAACTGGAAAGAAAACACTAGCCTCCTTGCTTGGGGAACTTGGAAGGTATCTGCGGGCATGGAGCTTTGGCAGGAGTGGGGACAGTAGGACTCGTCCCTGGAGGGGACACCCGAGCCATAGTAGTAGATGCTGCTGTGGCAGTAGATGGGGGTCAGCGGAGAGAACTCCAGAGTGAGGTGTCTGTGACCCGGCGAGGAAGGGCTCCCTTCCTTGAGGTGCCATGAACTGGGCTGGGAAAGGGACAGTCCTGCTCAGAGGCAGAGAATTGTTGAAGTGACTTTTGTAGAAAGGATATAGGTCATTTAGCAATCTCTTGGAACCACCAATATGTGAGATGCTGTGCTCTGTGGCTTGCTGGCCCCTCACACTCTGCCCCCATCTCTGCCTGCTGCCCCTTCCCCGTCCCTGTGGTCTCATGGCTCAGAGGGCGCTATAAGTAAGACTTACATGGGAGCCAGGTGGCTGGCTCTGTCTCTCTGTCTACCCCCCCTTTTTTTAAACCTTTTTTTTTTTTTTTTTTTTTTGAGAGACAGAGAGAGACAGAGCATGAGTGGGGGAGGAGCAGAGAGAGAGGGAGACACAGAACCCAAAGCAGGCTCCAGGCTCTGAGCTGTCAGCACAGAGCCCGACGCGGGGCTCGAACTCACGAACTGTGAGATCATGACCTGAGCCAAAGTCAGACGCTTAGCTGACTGAGCCGCCCAGGTACCCCATACCCCTCTTTTTTTTTTAAGTTTATTTATTTATTTTGGGGGTGGGGGAGAGAGAACGAGTAGGGGAGGGGCAGAGAAAGAAGGAGAGAGAGAGAGAGAGAGAGAGAGAGAGAGAGAGAGAGAGAGAGAGAATCCCAAGCAGGCTCTACACTGACAGCACAGAGCCTGATGTGGGGCTTGGACTCATGAACCATGGGATCATGACCTGAACCAAAGTCAGACATTTCACCGACTGAGCCACCCCGGTGCCCCTCTGTCTTATCCCTCTTGAACTAGACTGACTGTCAGAGAATTAGCCAGAGCCCCCATTCTGCCAATGCAGAATGTGTCCTTAGGCTCTGCTCTCCAGTTACAAGGACTTGTAGAGATCACCTAATCCAACCCCTTCGTTTTACACACAGATGAGGAAATCAAGGCCCAGAAAAAGTGACACAAGGAATCCAAAGGCATTCTAATCCCACTTCCTGATTCTTCATTCTCCCAGGCTGCCCTGCCCAGCACTCCTGCGCCAGAGGTCAGGCCCTAAGACCTTGGGTCCACTGCTTTGGGTCTGGTTCCTCCTGTCCCCTTGAGGGTGGCCTATCTGGCTGGGCACTCTGAAGCATTCACCAGCTCTCTAGGCCCCTCTGGGTGATCCCTGGGTAGTTAAAGATGAGAAAGTGGCTCCAGATGGTGCAGAGTCCTGGATGTCAAACCATCTGCTTGTCAATGTCATTCATTATTCATGAGGAAACATGAGCCCCTGGGTTGGCAGGGTCAGGAATTTTGTCCCATACTTTCTTCCCTTCTCAACCCCTGGGAGTGATAATCTTGAGCTTCCTGTAGGCTGTGCTAGGGAAGTGCTTGCTTCTCCAGCTGTGTCTGGGTGGGGTTTCTACTGCCCCCAGATGCTTGTGCCTGCTGTGGAAACCTGGCCCAGAGAGGTTTTTCTCATCAGAGATAATTTTCTTGCAGAGTTTTCAAAAAGCCGGAGACCCAGGGCAAAGCCTGAGTGAGAGGGATGGGCCTACACCTTTGGGTGAGGTCTGGGTTGGTGGGGCAGGAACTGCTGAGTGTGTTCACATCTTTGTGGGAAGAGGAGACCTGGGTTCGAGTCCAGGTGTTGCCATTTCGTAGCCAAGTAGGATGGGCAAGGCCTTGACTTTTCTGATCTGTGACGTGGAGATTACCATACACCTAACAAAAATACTTTAAACATTTTTTTAAAGTTTATTTTATTATTTATTTTGAGAAAGAGAGAGAGAGAGAGAGAGAGAGAGAAAATGAGTGGGGTATGGGCAGAGAGAGGAGAGACAGAATCCCAAGCAGGCTCTGCACTGCCAGCATAGAGCCCGACTCAGGGCTCAAACTCATCAACCATTAGATCATGACCTGAGCTGAAACCAAGAGTCAGATGCTTATGGCTGAGCCACCCAGGCGCCCCTAACAGCAATACTTTAAAGAGTAAGTTAGGCTTACGCTGGAAGCCCTCTCCCACCATTCACCAAAAGACCATGCAGGTACCCAAGAAAAACCACATAAATTGGCACTAGAATTGGAAACTGAAGAGAAGAGATCATCATAGGCCCAAGTCCAGGGGGACTTTCCATTAGCTGCAAGGTTAATGGGGGATGGATGGAGAAATACAATCCGGGAGTCTGTGTACATCACAGGGTGAGCGAAAACAGTCCAGACAACCACAAAGAAGGGAGAACACAGCTTTGACTCATCCCCACTGTCAGCCCTAATCTGCCTGGTTGGCAGGAGCCATGCTGACCAGGAGGCCAAGTGGCCACCGTTCACAGCTATCTGGGGACTGAAATCCTCTAGAGTGGCATCCTCCCTCCTCCCTCCTTCTCCCCTGACCTGACACTTCAACTATGTCCTTTTGAAAAGGCAGATTCCCTCAGGGTGACAGGGCTGAGAGCAGAGGGTCGAGCAAAGTGACCGGAGATGGGCTGCCCTGGGAAGAGCTTTGTAGGCTGAGACAGAGCTGGGAAGGGCTGTGTGCAGAGCCTGCCGGAGCAGCTGTTTTTCCCATACTCTGAGCAGAGGGCACCTGCCGCAGCATTGGACCTTCAGCCAAGTTGTAGAGGCCGATAGCTGGAGATCCCATCTCTGTGCAACATTGAGCCACCCAGCTCCCCCAGAGTGGCTTCCAATGCCCTCTGTCTTCCCTAGCACTCATCAGAACAATCCGATTTAATATTTAATTATGTAATCAGTCACTCGCTGTCTGTCTCTCTTGGACTGGAGGCTCTGAGCGGGCAGGACCAAGTCGGCCTGGCTCGCTGCTGTATCCTCGGCACTCTGCACAGGCCTGGAAATTTGGGGGGGCTTCGATATTTTTTGAATCCAGCTTTGGAAAGGAATTCGGCAATATTTTACAAGAATCAGAGAAATGTTTATGTCCTTGGTATCAGGTAGGATGCTTTGGGATGTAACTGAGACCACTGATTCAAATTGGCTTAAGCAGTGGAAAACACATTATCTCACATAACTGGAAGGCCAGAGAAAAGCAGGCTCCAGGGTGGCCGAGGTCCTTTCTGTCTGTGCTGTGCTGCACTCGACAACACTGGATTCCTCTTGGGACTGGGCCCTCTCTAGGGGGAAGAGTCTTGAGGGAAGAAGTGGGGAGAGAGACCCCACTTCGCTGGTAAGCATGGAATCCAAATCTTCCCCTTAAGTCAGATCGGGCCAACTTAGTCATATGCCTGCCCTTGTACCAGTACGAGTTACCAAGATGAGGGCCGCTCACTGATTGGCTTGAACTAATCAGGGTCTGCCTCTGAAATGGGATGGGGTGGTGGCTGCACAAAACCAGCGCTCTGTCAAGAAGCAGGAAGGGAGTGTGGCTGTTGGGGAGGCTCCTAGCGGTATCCACACTCAGCCTAGTGACTCTGTTTCTGGGACTCAATCCTAAGGAAATAAGTAGATCAAAGCAGTGTTGAGTGATGTTGTTTAAAAGACAGGAGAGGGGCGCCTGCGTGGCTCAGTCGGTTAAGCATCCGACTCTTGGATTTTGGCTGAGGTCATGATCTCATGGTTTGTGAGATGGAGCCCTGTGTTGGGCTCTGTGTTGACCACATAGAGCCTGCTTGGGATTCTCTCTCTCTCTCTCTCTCTCTCTCTCTGCCCTCCCTCTCTTCTCTCTCTCAAAGTAAATAAATAAACATTAAAAAAAAAAAAAAAAGAAGAAGAAGACAGGAGACAGAGGAGGAAGTCAGACCCGATCTAAGAGGTCACGATATTGAAATACTTAAGTCAATTATGCTACCTCTATACAATGAAATATTATGGTGGCGTTAAAACATTTATACCAAGCGTTCACGACAGTGGGAAATGCTTGTGATATGATGTTAAACGAAAAATACCAGGATGCAAAATTGTATTTGCACTATGAGTTCAATTATTTTTAAAAATGCATAGAAAAGAGACTGGGAGGAAATCAGATCAAAACGCCTCCAGGGGCCGCCACTCCGTGGTGCGCTTAAGGGCGACCTGTGCCTGCTTCTTTCTACTTTTCTGTGCTGTCCCTTCCAGCAGGAGGGCCCCTTCCGGAGCCGCCACCCCCACCCCGACCCCACAGGCTGGGGCCAGTCTTGCTGTCTCTGTTCTTATTATTGGCCATGACAATAATCACACTTACTATTTACTCTGTGCCTGGCACTGTTTTGGCGCCTTCACATGCTCTAATTTAATCCTTTCGATAGTCTTGTGAGGTGAGTGCTTTTATTTCTCGTTTTGCTGAGGTGTTCACTGAAGCCGCGAGGTGCTTGGTCACAAGATCACACAGCCAGTGTGTAGAGGCCTTTGGAATTCAAGAGTGGGCCGTACGACTCCACAGCCTCTGCCTTGACCTGGCCAAACCAGGTCACTTGCCAGGATAGCCATGTGCTAATAGGAATAGTTCCATTATTGAGCCAGACCCTGTGCACACTCTTTACGTTTATTGATTCGTTTAATCCTCACAGCCTCAGAGAGGCCAAGTGACTTGCCCAAGGTCACACAGCTAGGAAGTGGTGGGCTGCCGTAGAGTGGCCCCAGGGCCTGATGTGGCACCCCTTTGTTTCCTGCCCTCCCCCCACAGGATTGCCTGAGGCCTTGCCGCCCCTCGGACCATGTTTAACGGGGAGCCTAGTCCGGCCTCGGCCGCGGCCTCCAGGAATGTGGTTCGGAGCTCCAGCATCAGCGGTGAAATCTGTGGCTCCCAGCAGGCTGGGGGTGGGACCGGGACCACCACGGCCAAGAAGCGGCGCAGCAGCCTTGGGGCCAAGATGGTGGCCATCGTGGGCCTGACTCAGTGGAGCAAGAGCACACTCCAGCTCCCCCAGTCTGGTGAGGGGACGTGGGACACGGAGGGGGTGGGGTGGGGTACCTTGCAATGACAGGGCACCCAGGGGGCGTCCTCATGCCTAAAAATACTTATATAGCACTTACTGTATACCAGCTGCTACTCTGGGTCCAGTACATGTCCTGACTCATTGGATCCCCATAAACTCCATGAGGCAGATCCTCAAGCAAGAGAAGGGAAGTAAGATGCCCCCAACTACATAGCAAGCGGGTCATTGGAGCCTGAATTCAAAGCAGCTGGGCTGCGGGGTTCATGCTCCTGAACTTTACGCTGTGCTGCCTCCGTGCGCACCCTTACGCATTCAACAGCCACCGTATTCCTGGCACTGTGCTAAGTGGCACGGCTCCACAGACACGCATCCACAGGATACAGTCTCACCTGCATTCTCTGAATTTCCCAAGTACAAATAGCCGCAGGAATGCAGCCACACATTACCAAGTCACAAGAGAGACACACACACCTTGTATCATCATACGGTGTGTGCTCATTTGCTCAGGTGACTCACCCCTACTGCCGGGAAATCATACTGCAGTCATTCACGCTTGTGCATGGTCACAATGAAGCCAGTCATGCAAATCGCACAAGCACGCCCCTCTGAGTAGTAATGTACAGACCCAGATCACTGAAGCACGGTCGCATACGCACACACACAACAGCCCATGGTCACAGAAACATGTCGCACACGTATACGTACACACACATACCTCCCAAAGCCACGTTCACACACGCCTTAACAGCTACATCCTGAAAAACGTATTTTCTCAGCCACCTAGTTTTGGAGTCCTAGTGATGCTCGGACTGGGGGGTGACCCACTTTGTCACACACAGTCACCCTGGACCCCACATCACGGAGGAGGAGCCAGCCCTCCCCTCCCAAGACCTCCTCACTTTGTGGCATCAGCCCAGACACCAGCTGGTTTTGTTTTAAAATCTCTTCCTGCTTATTTTGTTCAGAGTAACAACTTCCCCAGGAAACCTTCAAATAGGCAGCTGGATGGGGGTGGTGAGGGGGCGGGGGCGCCGGAGGATCCAGAGAGAATGCTCATCAAGACTCCCAGTTGAGGGTGGGAGACTTTTCCAGGCCTTAAAATAGATTTTTACAAAGCCCTTCACAGGAGCACGTGGGATGGTCTTTTCCAGCAATCAAGCTGCAGTGTGTTTTTTAGCTCAGAGAAATGTTAGATGGGGAGGGGGCTTCAGGTTATCAGTGGCCCAGAAGGCATGGCCTTTGTGTTTGCAGTGTGGGCCTGGTGCTAGGGAATCAGGGGGATGGGGATCCAGGAGTTCGGCTGGCACAGAACCAAGGGGTGGGATTAAGGTTGGGGGATTAAGATTAGGAGGTTGAGGAGGTATTGGGCTCCAGGAGTCTGGCTTTAGGAATCTGGCTGATTCAGCTTCAGACCCAGAGGCTTCTTCATGCCCGAAGTGATTTGAACAGATGGTTTTCCAAGGTCAGGGCTGGGGCCTGAGTCACTGGGAGACATTCTGGTGATCTGCCTGGGGCTGTCCACCTACCCAGACTCCACAGTCAACAGGCAGGGACTGGAGTAAACACTAAGAAGATCTCCAGCCTCGAGGGGAGATGAATGACGGTGAGGCTTCTGGATCACTTGTCTCCATGGTAGGCATGGGTACAGCTGAAGGCCTGGGGCCTGAGCCATGAGAATTGCCCAGATGCCCTTTTAACCAAAATTCTCTGTGAATCATCCAATCTCCGAATGGGAGAGCAGGGAGGGCCCCTTGGGATCATCTAGTCACTACACTCATTTTATCGATGAGGCATCTGAGCCTGGAGAGGAGAAGGCACTTTCCTGGAGAACAACTTCAAGTTGGCCTTCACAGCCACACCCTGTCATTTACTAGTTGGGTGATTCAGGCAAGTTACTTCGCTTCTCCGAGCTTGCTTCCTTGATTGTGGAATAAGGACAATGATACCTGTCTTGCAGACTTTCCAGGGAATTACATGAGACAGGATATGCAAAGCCACTCAGCCTCATGCCAGCACATAATAGATACTTGGTAAATTGTTGGTATTATTATTACCCATGGCCACACAGTAGGACCCAACAAGAAGTGAGTTCTCTAGCCCCCACAACTCTGCCTCTCACCAGTAGCATACTCCTCTCCCATCTGTAATTCTTTCTTTCCATTTTTTTTCTCCCCAGTCTTGAGGTTGCCAGTGTCCCAACTTGGAGCCTCCTTCTGGGTAGGAGAGTCTGGCCCCAGGGGGATGTATGGGCTACCTCGCACTGGCTCTGGAAACTCAGTTCTGGGAAAAGATCCTAGCAGGGTGCCCCTGCTGCCCCCAGATGGGATGGCTCAGTTCCCTGAAGGGCTGGGCTGTGTGAAGTGGGGAGAACTCCTCTCTTGGACCCCAGCTTCTGAGCTCTAGGTCTGCCCTTCCCAGGAGCTTCCTTCCTCCTGATCTGTCCATACTCTGCATTGGCTCCAGCCCCACCCATCTCCTCCTGTGTCCTAGTTCAGGACCCATTATATCTAGCCTGGACTATTGCCCCAGCCTCCTCTCTAATTCTCCTGCCTCCGGCCTGCCCCTTCCAGTTTTTTCCTCACATTTTCCTAAAGTGGCCTTGAAGAAACTCACCCTGAAACTTCAGAGTTTCATTCTGGCTCTGTAACTCCCCGTGGGTCCTTGGGAAAGTCACATTTCCACTGGGTCTCTATTTCCTCTTCTATAAAATGGAACTATAGAGATGGTCTCCCAGCTTCCGGCTGTATCTAACATTCTCTAAGTTGTGGGAGCAATGATGAAGGTAGGGTCAGAGTTTTAGGGTCCTAGGACATAGGTGGGTTCTGGCCTGGCCTTAGGCTGGGTCTACTCAGGGCCCACCCTGGGCTATTCCAGCCCTTGCCCAAATGGAGCTCCTCTTTTCAGTACCAGGGACAGCAGCTCTTCCCACCTCAGCTCTGGGCTCTGGGTCAAGGTGGGGAGAGGACTCAGGACCCTTCCAGGAGATGCCCTGTGAGTGGTGCTGAGCGCTCCGACTGCCTCTCCCTTCTATGTGGTGGGACAGATGGGATGGTTCCTTGAGTCTTTCAATTTCCAGGAACCACAGAACTATTGCAAGGTACCCAGTTCTCTAGAGAGAGAGAGGCTACATAAAGTTATTCCCCAGATGGATAGAATTCAGACTGGACAAGTATCAAACCAGTAGAGGAATTTTCTCTGATGTTGCAAGAACTTTCTCCCCCCTCAAAAGACACAGAACCGAATCTCTGCTGAATCACCTCTCAAATCGATGTGGAGTTGATGGAGGGGGTGAAAAGTTGGCTATCAGTAGACTGGGAGAGTGTGGGCCTGGGGTCTGGCCCCAGCCCTATGAGCATGTGGACCTTGGGCTCCCCATCTATGGCAGTAGGAGGTCAGCGAGGCGTCTCCAACACTTCAGGATTCTGTGACACCCTTCCCAGGGGCTCATAGTGGGTTGGGTAGGTCAAAGAAGGTAAATTTTCTCCCAACTGGGTCAAAGCTTCTCAAGTTGTAGAAGAGGGGGGATTGGGGCCATGGGGTGGTGAGGCTCTGGCTTCAGCTTAGGGTGTGTATTGTTGGGGGGGGGGATATGAGAAGGGAGGATAAAGTGCAGCTCCCACAGACCCTCTGTCTCCTAACTGGGTTAGGGGGGGTGTGGCAGTTAGGAGCCAGGGACACCGTGAGTCCCCTACACCCACTGTTATTGCCCTGTGTGTGTGGTGGGTCACACACCATTTATGAGTTTGTATCTACATGTGTGATCGAGTGGATGGGTTCAACTCCAAGTGTTAGGGCATGAAGGTCACATGTCCGTGGCAGAGTATGTCATGTGTACGTATGACTAAGACCTGGTAGGACCATTTGTGACTGTGTGCCCATTATATGAACATACATGACCTGGTGTGTGAGATCACTGTACTCATACATGTGATCATTAGCACTCATGTATATCTGCTTATGTCAATGTGAAAGAAATACACATGAGCTAAAGTGACTGTGTGTGTGTGTGAGAGAGAGAGAGAGAGAGAGAGAGAAAGGTGGGGGGGGGGGCGGAGAGAAACAGGCCAGCAAACAGTCATATCAGCGGTCTCATTGACTCATGGTTAGTAGCTATTCCAATATCCCAGAAGCTGGGGTGGTTTCAGAGAAGACATTCCTCCTCACCACCAGCCCATCCCCAATCCCAGGACCCCCATCCCATCTGCTAGTGATGCCGGCCTTCTCAGCCGTCCCTCTCCCAGTGGGACTTCCTGAAAGGGAAGTAGGACGAAGCAGGAGGAATAAAGTTCCCCTTTGCGCAGGCTGGTGTTTTGAACATCCCCTCCCCAATTTACCATTGGGTGTGATCAAGAGAGGAGGTTGCCAGCATAGCCAACTCCCCCCTCCCCACTGCTTTTGGAGGCTGTGTTGCCGGCCCCACTCCCAGCCTCCCCATCCCTGTCAGCATCTCCACTCGTCATTTGCCCAGGCCTCTAACCAGTGACAGCAAATGGCTCCTTTGGTATAGTCCTTATCTGAGTGCCTCTTCCTACCTATGAAGCTCCGTAGGCAGCAAAGCGCCAGCAGGGGAAAGCCCTGCAAACCTTCCACTCGTCTTCTGCTCCCCCCACCCCCAGGAGGAGAGGGTGTCTAGTGGGACCTCACTGCAATGCTGAGGAGGTTGCCATGGAAACCCAGGCAGGATGGTGTGCTGCTAGGAGAGGCAAAGTGCCCCGTGTTCCCTGCAAGGCTTAAGGGGGGCTGGGGTGAGGGTAGAGGGCCCTCCAAACAAGAGGTACAGAGACACCGAGTAAGCTCTCACCGCATGGCTTCTGGAGTTCTTCTGCAGACCTCTTTTTCAGAACCAAGGTCAATTCAGGCCAACCTAGTGGTCCCTCTCAGTCTTGCTTCCCTAACGGCCCCTCCAGCCCGCCACACACATCTCTTTCCACATTCAGGCCCACATTGAGAATGTGGGTTAATGTGAGAGTGGCTAAACTTCACATGGGGTTTTTCATTGGTTCTGTGAAGGAATCAGAGTCACAGGTGGATTGCGAGGTCGGGGTGTGATAGGGTTCATGAGGGTAAGGGGGAAAGCAAATCTGGGAATGCCAGAGAAAGCAAACTTTCCAGAAGAGAAAGGAGCACGTAACCATTTGGGGCAAAGGCTGGAATTGCGTTGGGAAGGTGGCCATCAGGGAGCCTGGCAGGGATGAGGCTGAGTGAAGGCTGCAGGGCTGGTCTCCACCTGGTGATCCCCCCACCCTGCAGCCCCAGCTCACCTGTGCCCCTGCCTCCAGTTCGAGTCCTGCCCATCCTGCCCCTTCCCAGGAGGTGACTTTGGCAGCACGCTCTCCGAAGCCTCTTCAGCGATCTGACCTTGTTCCCTTTCTGTGCTTTTGGGGGGGGGTCACAGAAGGGGCCACCAAGAAGCTGCGCAGCAACATCCGGAGGAGCACAGAGACAGGCATCGCCGTGGAAATGCGGAGTCGGGTCACACGCCAGGGCAGCCGAGAGTCTACCGATGGGAGCACCAACAGCAACAGCTCCGAGGGCACGTGCGTGCAGCCCATGCCCACCGTGGTCCCCGCCCCACCCTCCTGCACCCTCCAGGGGCAGGGCTGGGAAATCTTCCTGTGGGGGTTTCCAGTCCGGATGTCCGGGTTCTTCTGCGTCCCTGCCCGCCCTGGATGTCCGCCGCCTAGGCCCCAGTCTTCCTCTGCTCCAGGCTGCTGTTTCCCCTCCAAATACCCCCCAGCAGCCCCAGGGCAGTGTATCCCATCTGTATGTCTCATCCCCACCCCCTACCCCCCCCCCCAGCACCTACATGCTGCCTTGCTCCAGAGGAGAGGGCTCGAAAGGAAAATGTGATCCTAAAATTCTTCTCTGAAACCATTGTTATGGCTCAGATGAATGGAGTTCTCGCAAGTGGTCTTGCCTGGGGCTTAGAGGAGGAGGTTGGACTAGATCAGTGTTTTTCAAACTGTGGGTGGTGACTCAGGCAGGAAGTAAAATCAGTTTAGTGGGTCAAAACCAACATTAGAAGAAGAAATGGAAAATTCAAACATATCCTGTGGAGTGAGGATGAATTACCTTGGGAATTTTTGTTTTTTTAATATATGGATACACAGAGGTCCGTGGTGTTAAATATATTTCTTCTGTTGCCTGGGGGGGGGGGGGGGGGGGGGGAAGAGGGGGTTACAGTTAAAAATTTGAAAGTCACTGGGTTAGATATTCCCTTGGTCTCTCCTAAATCTATGCAACTGGTTATATGACTAAGATTTTTTGGTTTGGCTTCATCAAGGCCCATTGACTTTAGGACCCTGTGGCTCTATTATTTAGGATTCTGTGACCTCATATGTCACTACTGTGCCCACTTCCATGAATGCAAATGGCCAGTGACATTTATTGCATCTTACTGTATGCAGGGCATCAGGTGAGTGCCTTTTACTCTGGGATCTACCAGCTACTATCAGAGCAAAAATAGTATCTCATTTAACACAACAACAACACTGGGGGATGTCGGTACCATTATAACTCCATTTTATGGGTGGAGAGACTGAGGCATGGGAAGAGGGTGAGGTCCTTTACCCCAGGTCACAGCCATTCGGTGGTGGTGGAGTCAGGATTTGAATTAAGGCCATTGGACTCTATAACCTTTTTTTCACAACCTCTACGCTCTCTCTCATTCTGTGACCTTGAGAGTCTGTTACTTTATGTATGTAACCTTCTCAGATCCCATTTTCCTCAGAATTCAGTATGAGGCTATTGCTGCTGGCCAGTAAGAGCGGGTGGGCCTCGAAGCCCCTTCCCAGGAAGTAGAGCCCAGCCAACTTCCTGGTTGGGGAGATCCAGGCCCTCTTCAACAATGGTATGTCCTGTGTCTTTCTCCCTGCCTGTCACTGGCCAAGGGGAACTCAAGGCCAAACTCTCCAACAGGGAGTCATTCTGGGACAACCTGATCTCTCAGGCCAGGAACCAAGGCTATGCTAGGCGGTCTTAGAACTTCGGTCCTTCGTAGGTCCTGAGAAGACCCGGGTCAGCCCTCTAGTATCTGGCCTTTGTCTGCTGGCCACCTCCAGAACATCTAGGCTTGAGGACATGAACAAGTAGCACTTCCCCTTGATGTTAACGGCAGCAACGTAATAACTACCATTTTTTTTTGTTTCCTGTTTGTCTGGGGCTTTCATGCATCACCTGCCCTGATCTTCCCCCCCCCCCCCCCCCCCCCCCCCCCCCCCCCCCCCCCCCCCCCCCCCCCCCCCCCCGCCATGACCCTATGAGTTGGGCATCCTCTCTGTTTTGAAGCCAAGGCAAGTCTCTCACCTCTTGGAGCCTCTGTTTTCTCATCTGTAAAACTGAATAATAGCCCCTGGAGCGTGGAAATGGCTCTAAGGGTGAAATGGTATAATGTATGCTGAGCATTCAGTGTGCTGCTGGCGTCTGGCCAACTTTCAATCACTGTCAGTTTGCTTGTTACTATTTCCAGGCCCCCACAACCAGGGACCACCCACCATCACTCGCCTTTTATCTCAACCCTGTAATTGTGTTATTTTGGTCTCGGCTGCTGTTTGGGGCACCACCTCAGATTATTGACTCGGATTTCAAACATATGGTCAACTAAACCTCAGTTCTCGGAACGTGCTCCAGGCATTGAAATTCCTGGCCTATGTTTCTGGTTCTTGGCATCCATACCCCCCTGGGGAGGACACAGGTGCCCAGCAAGCCCTGCCTTCTAAGGGTTATCTTAGAAATCCTGGTGCTTGAGGATTGAATAACATTATTATCTTTATTATTTCTCAAGAGACATCAAAGTATTTTTCTTCAATGTGCAGAGATGAGCAGTTCTGTTTGTTCCCAGCTAAAGTAGTGTTCTCGTACTGTGTAGGGGGTGGGGAATTGAGGCACAGAGGGGCATGGCCCAGTGTCCTTGGGGCAAAGCCACTGCATCTCACTATCTAGACCACCTCATACCCCTCTGCCTCTTCCTCCAGGTTCATTTTCCCCACCACCCGGCTCGGGGCTGAAAGCCAGTTTAGTGATTTCCTGGATGGGCTGGGACCAGCCCAGATTGTGGGGCGACAGACATTGGCGACACCACCAATGGGTGAGTCTCCTTGAGGGCAGAGCGAGTAGGGCGGAAGGGGTGAGCTCGGTGGGGGCCCTGTGTGATACAGTGTGAGCTGCAGAGAGAGGAGCCCTCACTCCGGCTTTTGTGCCCCAAGAAGGAGCCCGGCACTGCTCAGTCTGTCTCTCATCAGAGAGGACAAGGGGAGCCAGCCTTGCTCTGCTGGCTACCCTGCAGCAGCTTTATAGCACACCCCTGCCCTCACCACCACGCACCCCCCCCCCCACTCTCCCACCACCTGCTACCCGCCTGGCGGTGCTGAGTGCTGGGCGGAAAACGGTGAACAAAAATCATCACAGCATTGGTGTTCACCAAGTCCATTCTGCCACCGATGCTCTGTGTAACCTTGGCCACGTCACTTCCCTTCTTTGGGCCTCAATTTCCTCATCTGTAAAATGGGAATAATAATACCTGCCTTAGTACTGCAATCTAACAGCAATTCACTGAGTTCCTATTCGCTGCTTTGAGTGAAGTATTTCATTAACTCCTTAGAAAGTGTGTCTTCTTTGACTTGTTACTTAATAGTGCCTGGCACCTAAAAGCCTTTTAAGTAATTTTTTCATCTCCCTTCCTTGCAGCTAGGACCTATTTCCCGGAGTCTACACTTGGTCCTTTCAGCTGCACTTCTGGTCCCCTCCCTCCCTCTTTCCCTCTCTTAGATACTGTGTTGGCTTTAAGCAGCTCCTCCCAGGAACTAGCTTCCCCATCAGTCCTACGTAGGAGTCTGACCCAGACATCTGGACTCAGTCTTCATTTGAACAGTGTTCAGATGTTGACCTCACAGGTTCAAAGTGTTGAGGTTCAAAGTGCTGACGTCACAGCCCATGAGGGAGCTGGGCTCAGACAGTGCTCTGCCGTAAGCCAAGCTGTGGAGCTGGGTTTCTATCCCACCATACTGCTCTGTCTTGCTCTAATGTGCTTACACAGGAGGCTTTGTCTGCTGGAAGGGGGGGGTCCACGGGGACCCCTCAGCTCTCCTCTGGCTCTTGGGTAGGATTTGGCTAATTCCCAGCCCTTGCTTACAGGCTCTTACGGGCCTGGGGAATCTGCTTTTCCCAGCCCTAGGCCCAGCCAGGGCCTGGGAGGCAGTGAGAGGAGCCAGCCATCTCCACAAGGCTTTTGCACCACCACAGCCTAGCACATTTGTGTGTGGCGCCGCCTGGTGTCTAGAAGTGGAAAGGACAGGCTTGTATTTGCTCATCTTGTTAGGGATGTTACAGTGAGACCTCCCCCTTCCCACTCCCCCATGGGGAGGTCAGAAATAGCTAGAGGGAGGGCGATGACTTCCAGGAGGTTTCCTGAAAGTAATAAATCCCCATCTTCCCAAGTATGCAAATACAAACAATTGCACGATAGCTCAGTGTATCTAAAACGGGTGGCTGAACCCAAAGTCTGGCCCATTTTCATCTTTCCGCATCAGGCTTATGATTCTGCACTCCTTTGAAGGATGCTCCAAGTGACTAATGCATAATTTCAAATTCTGCTAACTGGTGTCGAACAAAGCGAAGAGTTCTAGAAATAACTGACATGACTTCACACAGAACTTGCCTCAGCGAGATAATCGTTTGTGGGAGCATAGTGAGGAATTCTGAGCTCTCTGCTCCCAGGAAAGCCGGCCTTTCCTCCCTCCTTTGGCAAGGGTACGAACAGGCCCCTCGTTCCCAGGCAGGGGCCTCCTGTCCCACACAAGCTCCTATCTCTGCGTCTCTTCAAACTGATATTTTGTCTATATTCGTTTGACAAAATGTATTTTGGGGCGTGGTGGAGGGCTGCTGTGTAGAAGGTGAATAAGAGCCGCTAAACCCACAGCCTCCCTCGCTTTCTTCCTGACGCCAGAAGTTCTGTCCCCAAACTTGCTGTCCTGTTCGGTGAGACAGAAGCCCCCCAGGAAACCAGCCTCGCCTGGGAATTTGGCAGCCATTTGTTGTTACTCAAGCATGGCCCCCACCGAGGGCCATGCCCCTGCCTCTCCTCAGGGGACCTATCAAAGTATTTCACAGCCTGCTCTCAAGTGGCCTCCCGAGAGCAATCCTGGCACATGCAATTTTTTGCATATTGTGCCCTTTCCAGTGCTGTAGCGTCCTCTGCAGACGACGTTCTCTACAGCAGCTGGCCGGCCTGCCCCTGCGTCTGCCTCTGCCTGGACTGTCCCTCTTCTCCCTTGCAGGGGACGTGCACGTTGCCATCATGGACCGGAGTGGCCAGCTGGAGGTGGAAGTGATTGAGGCCCGGGGCCTGACCCCCAAACCAGGCTCCAAATCCCTCCCAGGTAAGGCAGAGCAGCAGGGAGAGGGGTTTTCGATCTGGGGTCCTGCCAGGGAGGGGTATGCAACTGAGCTCCGAGTCTAGCACATCCTCAGCTGCCCCTTGGCCTAGAGCCGTGTTCTCGACTTGGCTTGCCTGGAAGGCCAGTGGACAGGGTTGGGGGGAGGGGAGGACAGACGAGTCAGTGTTTGAGTCCATCTTTTCTACTGCTGTCCACTGGTCAGCTCGTCCCACTCACCTTGGTCACCTCCAGGGCCAGCTGGATGTCAGGGGGTGGGGCAGGGCATAGCATTCTCTCCTGGACCCTTCCCATCATGCTCTCTCCCGTCCCGCAGCCACCTATATCAAGGTTTACCTGCTTGAGAATGGGGCCTGCTTGGCCAAAAAGAAGACAAAGGTCGCCAAGAAGACCTGTGACCCCCTGTACCAGCAGGCTCTGCTCTTTGACGAGGGGCCCCAGGGCAAGGTGCTGCAGGTGAGTGTGATGGGGCAATCCTCAAAAACCGCAGGTTGTCATTTCAGATCTCTCTCACGTACGATGTGTCCCGTGCTGGGCACCGTACCAGGTGCATTGATGCGCTTTACACGTTTGTTTTCACAGCCCAGGGAGGTGTTATTGCCCCTGGTTGATTCATTAGGAAACCAGAGCTCAGGGGGACAGCTCCACTGTCCCCCAGGTTGCCCTGCTGGTAGGTAGAAGCAGGGTGTGACCGCCGCCTTCTCTTTCCAGCCGGCGCTAATGTCTGTTGCTCATCAGCTCCATGCCAGGCTCTGTGTTAAGTGCTTTCCAGTCCTGACCTCCTTTTGTGCTCGAGATGGTCCTGGGAAGTAGGTATGATGATCCCCATCTTGCAGTCTCAGAAAGGGGAAGTGACTCGTGTGAGGTTTCAGCTGGTAACTTGCACAGCCAGGGTGACCCCGGGGCCGAGGTGACCTCGCCCCAACTGCCTAAGAGTGCGGTGCCCTCCGCAACAGCACTGGGAGGGAGGGATCATCACCCCCAGCCGCAGATGAGGCGCCTGAGGTGCTCGAGAGGCTAAGTGGGGATAGTTCACAGTGGGGCTGGGCTCTGGGTTCAGTCCTGGGTTCAAGTTCCAGCTCCATCACGGTCTGCGGGTGGTATGTTGTGAAGAGTAAGCGAGAGGTGCATGTGAAGAGCCTCACATAGCGCCTGGCGCACAGACAGCTACTCGCTAGGTATTGGCGGTGGTGGCTGTGGCTGTTGGCCTTGCCGGAGGCCATGTGGGTGGCGGAGGGGAGGCCTGAGCCAGGGACTGTCTGGGCTGTGCGACTGCTCATCTAGGGCCCTTCCTCTGGGCTGAGGCGGTTGCATGGCAACAGCCCTCAGAGTTGCAAATGGCAAGGGCTGTAGAACTCCAGGGTTCTGTGGGGGAAGGGGTGATCTTGGGTGTCTGTTTCCATACACACACGCACGCATATATTGGGATTCCGCTTTGTAAAAAGGATCCACCGATAAAAACACAAGTGTGAAAATCACTGAGCTCATCTAGTCCCCTCTTCCAGTTTTATGGACGGGGACACTGAGGTCCAGCGAGGGCCAGGGGTCTCCCCAAGCTCCACCATGAGCCGGCGGCAGACTGGGAGCTATGACTCAGGTCCTGGACTCTCAGTCTGCTCCTTACTGGGGAAGGCTGTCATCTGGGATTCTGGGAGGCTCTGGAAGGCAGACCCAGGTTCTCATCCCAGCTCTGCCACCAATTACGGTATATCTCTGGGTTAGTTAATCAACCTCTCTGAGCTCCAGTGTCCTCTTTGTCAAAATAACGATACACAACACCTTTACCTAGATGGTTGTAACAATTGAGATAATAGATATAAGTCTGTAGGATCCAGCCTGTGGTACATCTTAAGTGCTCAGTAAGCTGTTGCCCCAGATCAGTCTTCGTTCCAGCTCTCTCTGTCTCATCTGTGCTCTGGTGAAACTTGCAGGTTCCTGGGCCCACTACTGAGCCCTGGAGTCAGGGAGTTGGCTCAGTGCCTCTGTCTCACCAGCCACCCCCAACCCCTCCGGCAGGTGATCGTCTGGGGAGACTACGGCCGCATGGACCACAAATGCTTCATGGGCATGGCCCAGATCATGCTGGACGAGCTGGACCTGAGCGCCGCGGTCGCCGGCTGGTACAAACTCTTCCCTACGTCCTCAGTGGCAGACTCTTCGCTTGGATCCCTCACCAGGCGCCTGTCCCAGTCCTCCCTGGAGAGTGCCACCAGCCCCTCGTGCTCCTAAGGACCTCCAGAAGAGGCCAGGATGTAGTGTGGGAAGGGATGCCTGATGGCCTCCCCTCCCTTGTACATAGTCTTTGTGTCTTTCTGGCCCCCTTGCCCTGCTGCATGCCTGTTGGCTACTGGGCCTGTCCCAGCTGGCAGTGGAGACTGTAGTGTGTGTGTGTGTGTGTGTGTGTGTGTGTCTGTGTCTGTGTCTGTGTGTGACCACGTTATATCTGTTCATCTGTCTGGGTACGGTCAGTCTTGGTGACTACATGGGCTACAATCCACATCCCTCTGTGTCTTGTTGAAAAGAAACCCAAAGGAGTGTTGTGTGGGCACCAATCCCCCCTGAGTCCAGGGGTAAAAATGGGGGCCGTGGCCGCCAGTCCGTCCTGCCTGGCCCTGAGCCCACATGTCCCCGCCCGGGCCGCCTCTTGGCGGTCCCTGCTTAGTTTTCTGTCTTGTCCTTCGTTCCACCTTTGCTTCTCCCAGCACCACTGCTCTCTTTTGAGGAATGTAGCACCCACTGCAGCTGGCCACCCCGAGTCCCCTCTGGGACCCGACGCCCTCCTCCCCACCCGAGCGCTCTGGCAGCTCTTCCCACTGAATGCATCTGCAGCATGTGCCATGCTCATCTGGTGCCCTGGCCAGGGGCCTGGGGAGCAGAGGGCTTGGAGACCATCTTCTCCCTCGGATCGGAGCTGCCTCCTTCCTATGGGTGAGACGCTAGGAAGTCTTAGTTCCCAGGGTTGCTGGCCAGGCCCCTTAGAGGGAAGTGCTGGCACCTCCCTTAGGCATGTTCTTCACCTCCTGTCTTCCTCCGAACCTCCTCACTTCCAACATGCCAAAGGAGCTCTCCCAGTGGATCCCAGGAGGTGTGGACGTGGAGGGTCTTGACATCCAGGAGGCTGGCCTCAGAAGGGGGATGTTATCTGCCCCAGCAGATGGTCCCTGGGGGCACCTGTGTCCTCTCCAGGCCCTGGGGGTGGTCCTGTCCCTCTCTGGGCTCATGCTGGGGGGGCTGGCTTGTGGAGGAGGTGCTGAGGGTGGGGCTGCTTACTGGAATGGGGGGCGCTGGGGCTGACCTGCCCTGTGCCCCTTGAGAATCCCGTCTGACCTTTGGGGATTAGCTGCATGAGGTTGATCATTTGGGTCTCTCTTTGTTTGCTCATTTCCAGACCAGGGTCCCTGTGTGGGAGCTCAGACTCACTTGGGCTCCAGCCTTCTGGCCCCATGGACAGCCTGGCTCTGGACTCAGCTAGACTGCCATAGACACCAGCTCTGTACAAGCAATACTTTCCCCTTTCTGCCTCCCCACCTCCTTGCGCTCCGCAGCTGCGCTCTGGAGAGTGGCCTGGCCGGCCCTAGGCGCCTCACCTGCCTCTGCTTTCTTTCTACCCTTGTCTGGAGCTTCCCAAAGCCACTCCAAAACCCTGACTTCATTTGACAGCTGGGCCCTGTGGGTGGGGACCGGGGCCTGGACTGGCCCTGTGAGATGTCTGCTAGGAAGTGCCCAAATCTGTCCTCTTCCTCCTCGGGTCTAGGGCAAAAGGCTAGAGGTTGCCCAGGGGATGGACACAGTAGCCCTTGGGTCCGCGTCTGGTGGGGAGCCAAGAGGTGGCAGGAGGGGTCAAGGTGTGGAGAAGACTGTCCCTCTGCCTCTTCCCCCGGCGTCAGCCCCACGTGTTGCGATGACTCTGACCCACCTACTCGAGGTGGAGGGGGGCTACCCCGCCGAGCAGTGGAGGGAGGGGTCTCTGGGCCTGAGTGCTTGGGCTCCATTTGTAACCAAAGCTGGATGGATGGGCAGAGAGGCGGATTCTGAGGGCAGGTGGAGGTGGAAGCGTCTCTGCCCAAAGGGCCTCCTTTCCTGGCAGGAAGCCACATCAGGTTAAAGCCAGAGCCCGGTCACCTCTCTCCCAGGAAAACCCCATCGGCCCTGCCCACAGACAGAAAGTGGGTACGGGCAGTAAGAAATGAACCGAATGGGCTCCTGGCTCCTGCCGGAGCCTCCATCCTTGTCTGATCACAGATGAGGACTGCTGTGGGCGTAGAGCGAGGGAGGAGGCAGCTGGGTCGAGTTTTCTCTTTAGGCAGAAATTCTCTCCTGTTGTCGGGACTGGGTAATGCATGCATTTCTCATGTTTCTAAAAATAAGGCGAAGGGCTCTACTCTTTGACCCTAGGGTAGGGAAAGGGAGGAAACTCGCTCACAAAAGGGTATTTTTTTGTTTTGTCCGTGAGGTGTTCACCTTCAGAGCGGCCTCCCTCAGGACGGTGTGAACGTACTCTACACTTTTGGAATGGGGGGATTCGTAGTGATCCACAGGACAGTGTAGACATTTGCTGATGTAGCACTGAGTGGTGAGACCCAGACCACACAGTCATCCCCAGGGAACGGGGGATATCACTGAGGGGTATCACCTTCAGTCCTCTAGGGGCCCAGGAAGACAGAGAAGGTGGAGGGCTGCCCGCAGAGCAATGGCCTCTGGGTAGCTGCAGGCAACGATGCCCTCACCTCTGGGGGAGGGTTGGTTAGCACCGTGGAACTTCTAGCCAGAGATGGGGCGTGACGTGTGGTGACTTGGGCCTGCCTACAGTCCCTAGCTACCAAAACTGCCCAAGAGCTGGGCCACTCACTCTCCCACCTCTCTAGTGGGAAGCAATCCTCCCCGGGTAGACCTTAGGGAATTATTCTTTTTAACCCTTGGCACCAAATAAGTTACTAATCCCCAGTGG